TGTCATCCATCTTCGCTGTCTTCTCTGTGGGCGGGACTTCCTCACCCATTTCCTGCAGAATTGACAAGTGGAATCAAGGAGAACGAAGCGAGGAAACAGAAATGAGATGTGGTTATGGATTTCTTCAGATGTGTTATCTGGATCTGGGAGATTCAAATCACTGTACCTCAAGTCGTAGTTCCCAGGTTCACATGCATTTTGAAAAATCGGTTTAAATTAGACTAGACCAGCGAGTGCCAAGCCAATGCTGATTCTGCGTTTATAGGTGTTGGAAGATAATCCAATAAATGAGCGTGGACTCAGCCCCACTCATCTCCTACTTTCATCTTTCCCATCACCGCTTCCGTCACTCCTGTCCAAACGTCTTATGGGCCATTTCAAAAAGGAGCAGGAAAATAATAGGCACACTATAGTGTCCATATATTACAGAAGATGCAAAGTATTTAAAGATCGATTTATGTTTAAATTTGCCAGAGATTTCAATCAGTTAAAGCAGATCTGTAATACAAAATCAACTTTTCAGAGACTATACTTTCTAATTTAACCTCTCAAGGTTGTATTTTCGTAAAGTAGAGATGCTTAATGTCATATTGTGGAACATTTCAGGCAGAGCAATGACACAGTCATAGAAACAAGCAGGTGATGGACACCCATCCAAAAAGTTAGACCACTTTTAAAGGGACAGTCCAGAATTTGGACATAGGACCTCATTTCCTAGTTAGACAGTGTTGGAGACGTGTGGAGACACTTTATTAAATATTCCATCCAGTCCTTGTATTTGCAGAGGTCACTGGTGCTAGGCTAGTGCATGTCAATGGCCATAGTTATCCTGCCACTAAAAAAAAAAAAAAAAAAAAAAAGTATAATTCTGTTGCTGCTGAAAAAATAGTCCCTCAACATGCTGCAACGATTCATATGATGCAACATAATTTTTATTTCACACATTATTCTATCAACACATTTACACGGACAGCCTGGTGTAATAATAGATTTGTTTCGGGTGTTTTGTGGAGTGGGTAAGACTGTTTTTAATGGCAGGCTAACTATGGCCATTGACATGCACTAGCCTAGCACCAACGACCTCTGCAAATACAAGGACTGGATGGAATATTTTTAAAAGTGTCTCCACACGTCTCCAACACTCCGGCTCACTAGGAAATGAGGTCCTGTGTCCAAAATTCCAGACTGTCCCTTTAACTAATAACGTACTCCTAAAGGTGCATTATGTAACTTCTAAGGTGAGGGCCAGCTGCTCGCTTGTTATTTGCATGGAATGTTCCACAGTATGGCATTAAACATATCTGCCTTGCATGTATTCAATTACAGGCATTTCAAAGCTCAAAAAAAAAAAACATGAATTCTTACGATGTTTTCTAACGACGGTTTGCTTCTCCAGAGATCTAACCACTAATCTGTCTCCATTTGTGATAACCAAGTTTATTTCCCTACTGAATAACATTAAAAGGTGAATCAATTACATTTCTGTGGAGACAAGCAAGCAGCAAACCCTTTACCAGAAAAGTTACACAGTGCACCTTTAACTGTAACAAAAAATAAAAAATGGAGAACTGGAGCATGTTAGTTTAAGTCTCCTCTTCTCTTCAGACAGATATAAGGCAGAGACTTACCAGTATCCTGTCAGAAGTGAAGAAGCTGCTTGGATGAGTGGTGAAACATATTTTCTCTCAAAAACTTTTGTAAAGTTGACAGAATTCAATTTTCTTTTGCCATTCTCGGTAGTGGTTACACGAGGCAAGGCTTAAAATAATGTCAGTGGAGTGGTAAACAGAATACAGGATAGGCCATGTACCAGAACAGAGTGAATCATGTTTTTTCATATTGGCATGTAAGTAAAAGTGTTATGTGGGGGAAAGAAAACCATACATTGGGGATCAGATAGTTAAAGGGTCCACATTACGGTATTTTCTGATTATAATGTTTATATTGGAACAGAGCATTTTGAGCTTTGGAGATGTACACAGATTAATAATAAATGGCTACTCAAATGTGTGAATGAAACACAATGAAAAAAAAAAAAAAAAAAAAACTCCAGATATGTTTTTGATGATTTTGAAGCTCACAAGAGTAAATTTCCCATAATATAGGACATTTAATGGGCTAGGTGGCATGGGTCCTTCATGTAGACAGGTTAATTAGTACTGAGCTATAACTTGCCATTACAAGGTCACAAATTTGCCTATGGACTTGATTTTTTTTTTTCCCTCCCCAAGTGTAACAATTTGATTATCTAAGACAATGCCTAATCTCATCTGACCTTAGAAGCTAAGTGGGGTTGGGCCTCGTCAGTACTTAGATGGTAGACCAGGTACTGTAGAAGGGTGGTAGTGGCTCTACCCTTAAACAACACACTTCAGAGAGTGGGGGTAGGTTGGCAGACTGTCCATCCACTGACCTGAATGTCAGCATTTAAACCCCTCATTAGCTCAGTTGCTAGAATGGTCATATCCACTTTACCCAAAAGCTGGTGGTCTGATCCCAGTTCCCACAGGTGTTTAAAGGTGCTCACTCACCCTGGTATATGCATGTGACATAGAAAAGCATTTTACTGTAACGTCACCTTTAATTGGGCATGGCAGTTTTCTAACGCGGAAATCAAACTATTTTTATTAAGTGGTTTTACGCGATTTAAATATTGCGATTTAAACTTATTTATTTTAACTTATTTAAACAAATTCTACACCAGAAGTAAGGATGCTATCAGGCTGAATAAAGGGTGCTATCGGGCCTTGTTGGCTCGTGGGACTCCTGAGGCAGCTGATGGGTAACGACAGGCCAAGCGTGCCACAGCTTGTGCGGTCACAGAGGCAAAAACTCGGGGTTGGAAGGAGTTCAGAGAGGGCATGGAGGAGGACTATCATTTGGCCTCAAAGAAATTCTGGCAAACTGTCCAGCGCCTCAGGAGGGGAAAGCAGTGCTTCACCAACACTGTTTACAGTGCGGGGGGAGAGCTGTTGACCTCGACTGGGGGTGTTGTCGAATGGTGGAAGGAATACTTTGAGGATCTCCTCAATCCCACTGTTACGAAGAGACTGGGGACTCGGTGGCGGACTCGTCCATCACCCTGGCTGAAGTCACTGAGGTGGTTGGCAAGCTCCTCAGTGGCAAGGCTCCGGGGGTGGATGAGATCCATTCTGAGTGTCTTAAATCTCTGGATGTTGTGGGGCGGTCTTGGCTGACACGTCTCTGCAACAACGCACAGCGGTTGGGGACAGTGCCTCTGGACTGGCAGACTGGGGACCGAAGGGAGTGGAGGAAGTGTCCAAGGTGAAGGAAGTCTGCGTGTCCCTGCTTACACTGCTGTCTCTGTGACCCGGCCCCGGATGAGTGGAAGAAAATGTATGGATGGATAAACAAATTGTAACATAATGATTCATGGGTGTTGTAGATTACAGTATAGTATCGCAGACACGGGTACAATATGTCTTCTTTAAACGTGTACAAGTTTCACTTGCTGTGGCTTAAATCTGTAGGTATGATCTTTTTAAATAACATTTTTTGTCAGTTGACCAGTGTGCAACAAATTCTAAAATGCTAATGATCACAGATAGCACCACTGCTTAATTTGTACATTCTTGCGCCGAAAATATTAAAATTTAATCTTTCCGAATATCTGCTGATAACAGGCTTCAAATGGATTCTAATTTCAGTCTTGCAATTCCCTCGACTCTCAGCCTGCCGCCCAATCACATAGGGGCAAATGTCAAGCTGTTTGCATTATCATGATCGGACACAACAAAGGCCAGTCAGGTCTGGCCTCCAAACATGAGCCTCATTCACGAGTGTGGCCCTGAGTGAAAATGAGTCTAACACCAGCTCATGTAATTCTACGGGGATCGCCACAGCCCGTCTCTACACGCTGTCGTCTGCAGTGGATAGAGGAATAATTACATGTGACTAAAGGCAGGTCATGGCTGGAGATATTGGTCAGATAATGGACACTGAGACAAATGGGCTTAAAGACATGTCCAAAGACTGTGTGTAACAATTCGACGCAGCTTTATTTATGGTGGAAAAAAGGTCCGCCACTTACTTGCTTGTATAGAGATGTCATTGCTCTGCCTGGCATGTTCCACAGTACAACATTAAACAGCGCTACCTTACATTTAATCCATTACAGGTGGTTTTATAGCTCAAAAATACCTAAAAAAAAAAGGCATTCTCCAGAGATCTGATTTGTAATTTGGTCTGGTTTGGTCTCCATGAAGATAGAAAGGTTTAATGCTGTACTGTAAAACGTAACATTTCAGACAAAGAAATAGCATAACCATGAAGAAAAACTTTTGACAGACCCTCCACCAGAAAAGTTACACAATGCACCTTTAAAACAGAAGTCATGATGAATGTGGTCCCACACGCATAGAGTGTATCAAATGGTTCAATAACTCTTATCCAGTGGCAGAGTGAGCAATTAGGGAGCCCTAGGCGAACTTGAGTTTGGGGCCCTCACTATAATGCACTGTTTTTTAAATATATTTATTGTCTGTTTTTCCCCATTGTTCTTCAGACACGCACATCTCGATTTATTTGATTTATGGTGGATTGGAAACTTGTCTTATTAGTTAGGTTGCCTACTAGATAACCAAAACTGAAAGTAGTTTTATTTTTTTGCTAGTACAGTTACACTTTTGTTTACATCCATTAAATATGATTATCATTTTTTTTCTTATGATTATTGTTTAAATGTAAACTATTCTCATTTAATGTCATATTGAGAGAAAATCAAATTGCTCTGAGGCCTCAGACATTAGTGGCACTGAGAGCAGTTGGTTGGGGGCCCCTCCAGGTTTGGGGGCCCTAAGCAGCCGCCTACTTTTGCCTAATGATAGTGCCGCCTCTGCTCTTATCTGTAACAGGATCTGAACAACCCGCGATCTCATATAATATTTTACTAATGAAAAATGTGTATATAATGTATAAAGACTTATATTATGCTATTTTCGAGTCTATGCTATAATGTTGTCTCCTCATCACAAACATACCTGGAGTTTTATTTTCACGTCCTTGCAAATCAGGGAGATAGGACACAGCTCCAGATGCACTTGTCTTCATGCAGTTTTGTTTGTGGTTCTGGCAGGTCAGGTGATATGGTCTCATCCCAGTCCCTTCTGGATTCACACACGTTTAACACACAAACCCTGCATATTTAGAGTTAGATATTAGAGTTCTTTTCTGAAACAGAAAACAATCTGTTCCATCTTGTGATTTCATGTGGTAATACAAGAAGTTCTCCACTGTGTTTATAAGCTAAATACACCTTCACTAGAATCATTTCGATGAGTTTGGCTCTGGAATTGCCAATTTCTACTCAAGTAAAGGTTGAATGTTGAACCCAAAACATGCTACATAGGTCTCCAGGAAGAATAGCTGATACACAAGGTCAGGTAAATATAATTAATCAGTGAACCTGCCCTGTTAAGGTTAATATATATTGTGCACTGTCCCTGTCTCATTAAAATAAATAAACTAAACTAAAAGGTAGCTGTTAACTTGAAAACTACCACTACATGATGACATCACAAGGTGGAACAGAGTGTTTTGAGCTTTGGAGACGTAGACAGACTAATAAAAAAGGATTACTTCAACATGTGTGATTGAAACAAAACACAACTCCATATGCAGTTATAAAGAATAACAAATAAAACAATGTAATTATTTTGTATATGATTATGGAATGGAAACACAATTATACTGAAATAAAACCACCATTACCTCAGCTTTTACAGAGAGAAATTACAAACAGATATGAAATAAACAGTATTTAGACTGTATATAAAGTAATTGCGCATACACACAAAACATCAGCCAAAACTAACTATGTAGCAAAACTATTCAGTATTTTAGTATAAATATGCACAAAGGATTGAAAATATGTTCTCTAAAGCTCTAATTTAACATAAAATACTTACAGGTGAAGCTTTCTGTAAAACAACAAAGAAAGATGATTACATCAGACAGCTGTCAGCCATTTCTCAAATCTGTGCTCCATTTCTAACTCTACAGCAATTAACAGTGAACACAAGCATTAAACAACACAGTGCCTCCTGCAGGTGGAGGGGAAAACTACACCAGCACACAAGTAGAATTCCAAACTAGTGGTCCAAGAAATTGCTTAAATAAGAGTAAAGAAGCATTATATAAGTAAAAAAAAAATGTTTTAAACGTAAAGTTAAAACCATACTTCAGCACATTCTCTACAGACATAGCCCTAGATGTTTTATGTGGAATATTTTAGCCAGAGGAACAACAATGAACATGGAAACAAACAGGTGGAAACACTCCTTGAGATGAAAGAAGAGTCAGATTTATGGAGATGCAAACCTGAAAACATTTACTTAAGTAAGAGCACTGCTACACTGTCAAAAAAATAAATATGAAGTTATGTTATATCAAAACTAATCCAAGACATTCAATTATATAACGTATTATTTAAAGATTACTGTAGGAACTATGAAGTGCATCACTATAAGAGTAACAAAGGCACACTTAAATCACTTTAGATCCAATTTTCTTCAGTTGAAATTTGTTGAATTTAATGTGTGAAATTATGGCAGTTGTTAATAATATTTGTTTTATGAGGCTGTTGTAATAACTTGGACACTTTACTCATTTGTCATGTGATGAGCTCTGGCTGTAGGGTAACTGTAGTGTAACTGTAGAGTGATTGTAGTGTGACTGTAGAGTAAGTGTAGTGTGACTGTAGTGTGATAGAGTGACTGTAGTGTGACTGTAGTGTAACTGTAGAGTGATTGTAGTGTGTCTGTAGTGCGATTGTAGTGTGTCTGTAGTGTGGCTGTAGTGTGACTATAGTGTGATTGTAGTGTGATTGTAGAGTGTGACTGTAGAGTGACTGTAGTGTGATAGAGTGACTGTAGTGTGACTGTAGTGTGACTGTAGTGTGTCTGTAGTGTGACTGTAGTGTGATAGAGTGACTGTAGTGTGACTGTATGTAGTGTGTCTGTAGTGTGATTGTAGTGTGTCTGTAGTGTGACTGTAGTATGTCTGTAGTGTGACTGTAGTGGGACTGTAGTGTGATTGTAGTGTGTCTGTAGTGTGACTGTAGTGTGATTGTAGTGTGTCTGTAGTGTGACTGTAGTGTGACTGTAGTGTGATTGTAGTGTGACTGTAGTGTGGACTGTAGTGTGATTGTAGTGTGTCTGTAGTGTGACTGTAGTGTGAATGTAGTGTAACTGTAGAGTGATTGTAGTGTGATTGTAGTGTGACTGTAGTGTGATTGTAGTGTGTCTGTAGTGTGACTGTAGTGTGATTGTAGTGTGAATGTAGTGTAACTGTAGAGTGATTGTAGTGTGATTGTAGTGTGACTGTAGTGTGATTGTAGTGTGGCTGTAGTGTGACTATAGTGTGATTGTAGTGTGATGTGTGTAGTGTGACTGTAGTGTGACTGTAGTGTGACTGTAGTGTGACTGTAGTGTGTCTGTAGTGTGACTGTAGTGTGATAGAGTGACTGTAGTGTGACTGTAGAGTGACTGTAGTGTGACTGTAGTGTGACTGTAGTGTGACTGTAGTGTGATTGTAGTGTGTCTGTAGTGTGACTGTAGTGTGACTGTAGTGTGACTGTAGTGTGATTGTAGTGTGACTGTAGTGTGACTGTAGTGGGACTGTAGTGTGATTGTAGTGTGACTGTAGTGTGTCTGTAGTGTGACTGTAGTGGGACTGTAGTGTGACTGTAGTGTGTCTGTAGTGTGAATGTAGTGTAACTGTAGAGTGATTGTAGTGTGATTGTAGTGTGACTGTAGTGTGACTGTAGTGTGAATGTAATGTAACTGTAGAGTGATTGTAGTGTGATTGTAGTGTGACTGTAGTGTGAATGTAATGTAACTGTAGAGTGATTGTAGTGTGATTGTAGTGTGACTGTAGTGGGACTGTGTAGTGGGGACTGTAGTGTCTGTAGTGTGAGTGTGATTGTAGTGTTGTGACTGTAGTGTGACTGTAGTGTGATTGTAGTGTGTAGTGTGTAGTGTGACTGTAGTGTGTCTGTAGTGTGACTGTAGTGGTGACTGTAGTGTGAATGTAATGTAACTGTAGAGTGATTGTAGTGTGATTGTAGTGTGACTGTAGTGTGACTGTAGTGTGTCTGTAGTGTGAATGTAATGTAACTGTAGAGTGATTGTAGTGTGATTGTAGTGTTACTGTAGTGTGTCTGTAGTGTGAATGTAATGTAACTGTAGAGTGATTGTAGTGTGATTGTAGTGTGACTGTAGTGTGTCTGTAGTGTGAATGTAATGTAACTGTAGAGTGATTGTAGTGTGATTGTAGTGTGACTGTAGTGTGAATGTAATGTAACTGTAGAGTGATTGTAGTGTGATTGTAGTGTGACTGTAGTGGGACTGTAGTGGGACTGTAGTGTGTCTGTAGTGTGATTGTAGTGTTTCTGTAGTGTGACTGTAGTGTGATTGTAGTGTGACTGTAGTGTGACTGTAGTGTGACTGTGTGTGATTGTAGTGGGACTGTAGTGTGATTGTAGTGTGACTGTAGTGTGTCTGTAGTGTGACTGTAGTGGGACTGTAGTGTGACTGTAGTGTGTCTGTAGTGTGAATGTAATGTAACTGTAGAGTGATTGTAGTGTGATTGTAGTGTGACTGTAGTGTGACTGTAGTGTGAATGTAATGTAACTGTAGAGTGATTGTAGTGTGATTGTAGTGTGACTGTAGTGTGTCTGTAGTGTGAATGTAATGTAACTGTAGAGTGATTGTAGTGTGATTGTAGTGTGACTGTAGTGTGTCTGTAGTGTGAATGTAATGTAACTGTAGAGTGATTGTAGTGTGATTGTAGTGTGACTGTAGTGTGTCTGTAGTGTGAATGTAATGTAACTGTAGAGTGATTGTAGTGTGACTGTAGTGTGACTGTAGTGTGTTTGTAGTGTGACTGTAGTGGGACTGTAGTGTGATTGTAGTGTGACTGTAGTGTGTCTGTAGTGTGATTGTAGTGTGACTGTAGTGTGTCTGTAGTGTGACTGTAGTGTGGACTGTAGTGTGACTGTAGAGTGGCTATAGTGTGACAGTAGTGTGGCTATAGTTTGACTGTAGTGTGACATGTGTAACTGTAGTGTGACGTGTGTAACTGTAGTGTGACGTGTGTAACTGTAGTGTGACGTGTGTAACTGTAGTGTGATGTGTGTAACTGTATTAAACTGTCGGCAGTGAGCCCAAGATAAACTCCCTTTGGGGAAAATAAAGTCGATCTTTATCTTAACCAAATGTAACTAAGTACTGCCCACTGCTGTAATCATGCGTAACCCCGACTAACACAACGTTTAGCTTCTCCAAAAAGAACATGAAGTCCTCTTCTTGTCTATTCACATGGCTCATAAACCAACGCGCAGCAGTAGCATGTATACATTAGCATACATTAATGATTACTGACAGCGCTGTGGTGAATAAAGACACTTGTTCTCTCGGCTTTATGGACTGTGCCTTCCTCAGAGGAGCCAACACAAAAGCTGCCTTGTGCGTGTCATCATTATGCCCCATTCACAGTCCCCAGTCTCCCAGTCCTCTGCACAGCACCCAAGGGTGGGTGGGGAGTACTTAGTTACATTTACCCAGTTATATTTACTTGAGTAACTTTTTAAAGAGGGGGTAGTACACGTGTATGGGGTGTTAACTGCTAACACATGAAATATTTGGATCACCACATTTTTATTGTTTTGAAAATGGTATATTCGCAAAAAAACCCCAAAAACCTCTGATCCCTTTGCTCACTGCACTAAGTCACTCCCCCTTCAGAGCACTACACATTACAAGTGGGCATCCCACTAATGAAACTAATGCACATCACATCAGGTTTGTGAAGTTGTAGTGTACTGTTTTGCGCCATGCTTTTGTATATCAAACTGCTAACTGCAAGGAGGGTTTGAATATGGCCTGACAGAGATCGCTATATTATTCAAAAGGCATGATTTTGATGAGGGAATTTTATAATATGGTAGAAAGCTCAAAAAAGTTGGTTGTGCATAAAACCAGCACTTTAAAGAAATTGTACTTTTCAGAGTACCATTTGGGTGTTTCCTGTGACTTCCACTCCAGTGCGACTTATATACTAAAATTTTCACACTGACAGCTGCAAGAGGGCGCTCTAGACTTGTGTGTCAGTACCTGCTACTCCTATTACTCCTGTACTACTGTCACTTCACTCTACTGCACATGTCTCCTGCAGAAAGAGCCTCTGTCCTGTCTGTATCTTTTCAGTCAATCGCATCATTACTTCTGTACCACTGAAAATTTTACATTTAAACAAACTTATAAAGACAAATAAGCAGACTGAACACAAATACCCTCAAAAAGAAAATGATATTTTGCAGATTACAAGCTGCAAGTTGTGAAATATGCAGCTGAAAACAGTAATCGAGCAGCAAAAAGAAAGTTTGGAGTGAGCGAGAAACTTGTGTCACCAGGAGTCATTGGATGGATCGACAAAACCTGGACTTCAGTGACAACAGAAACCATCCTGTCAGGATTCAGAAAGGCCGGAATAATTCTAACTGGAACTGATGCTGAATCTGACGACAGCTACACAGAAGAGAAAGTGGCACGCCATTTACCTCCAGAGGTCAGAGAGTTGCTCAGAAGTGACACAGAGGATGAAGAATTCAGTGGATTTAGTGATTTGGGGTAAGATGGAGAGTTTGGTAAACTTGTTCTGTTCTATTGTTTATGTTATAGTTTATCTGAAGAACTGTTTCTATGTGACTTAACAGTCTGTTGTTCTCTGTCCTCTGTTGTTATTACTACAACTTGACTTGAACAACATGAAAGGTCGGTTCCTGGTCTCTGATTTTATAAAATAAACTTCCCCCCAAATGTACAAGTTATATATGTTTTTTTCTTCTTCATTACGCATTTTTTGTCTGGTGTGATTTATACTCCGGCGCAGTCCAGTCCGGAAAATATGTTTCTTTTCTGGCAGCATACTTTCAGTCCTATTTGAGTAAGATCTTGTTTTACGTAGCAGTACACTTACTCGAGTAAAA